AGAGACCGGCAGATTACAGCGCACACAGAGTTTAGCAGATATTTTCATACCCTATTTGTTTCATGTGAAGCCTGATGAGGCTCCTGAGCCGCGCTCTCCACCGTAGAGGCAGCCAGTGAACACATGGCCTCCTGGGGAGCTGTGTGCCTCCGCTCCAAACTCACTGATCATTAACTGCTTGCAAATAGATAGAACAAGAATACTTTCTCTTTCAGGGTCACTGTATATGGGGCAGGCATACGCAAAATCTCCCTAGAAATACACAAAAAAGCAGCGGAACAAGAATCAATGTAGCGGCCCACAAAAACTGATAATTTCCTGTTCCTCCATGGATGTGAAAAAGATACCACCCACTGACCAGTGCATTTGTGAGGAGAGAACGAGTCCAGCTTCAAAAAGGATGAATCACACCCACACACACACTGTTTCCCATGATACCTCTGTTCTGCATCATGACTCAATTTGTCTCTCTGTGTGCATGCAACACCTGAGCTGGCTCCGTCCAGCACACCTACACCGATTCAGACATCTGCAGGGACCTGACCTGCGTATGACCTCCCTCTCTCCCCCGAGACCCTTGACCATCTGCCCCCTGGACTCATCTGCCAGACACAGCCTCACCTGCAGACCGAATAAAGCTCAACAGAGAGTGCACCGTATTTCAGTGCTGTGGGTTCAGGAAATGTATTTCCATTCATTTTCACTGTTTAAAAAAAATAATTCGATAAAGATGTGCAAAACTATAAATATTGGTGAGCTGCCTGAAGGACATGTCGACTAATCTGGTGACTAATCTTAACTGGAAGCCCTGAAGCATTTTTAAAATTTGGATAAAATTTAAGCAGAATGTTCAAAAACAAAAAGTGGTAGAGTCCCTAATTAAAGCACCACCACTAAAACATCTAAATATCTAAATAAATAAATTATGAATGTTGTTCTTTTGAATTGTCTATTCATCAGCACAAATGTTTTCAAAATTGATAATAACAAATGTCTCTTGAACACCAAATCAGGATATTAGCATGATTAGTATGATTTCTGAAAGATCATATGACAGTATATTAAAATGGAAAACAGTTATTTTAAATTGTAATATTCCACAATATTACTGTTTTACTCTTATTTTTGATAAATAAATGCAGTGATCATAAGAGACTTTCAAAAACATTAGAAAATCTTACCAACCCCAAACTTCATTTTATACATACATACATGCATATATATATATATATATATATATATGTGTGTGTGTGTGTGTGTATAGATAGATAGACAGA